CATGGTTTTCCATGGGCTCTTAGTTACTTTCTAGATCACTTGCTTTTGTTTGAAATTATGCTTTGTGTGGTTTTTGAAAGTATTTTGTAAATATTCCATTGTGTAAGCAAACTTTGTAATGATTCATATTCGTAAGAATGTATACAAAGATATTGATCTTTTGAAAATATTTTCAAGTTTGTAAGATTTTTTGAAAGTGTAGGTGTTTTTGAAAATAGCAAGGACGTTTTGTTTTGAAATTGAGCAAGTAACTAGGAACATTCTACCTACTCAAAAGTATTTTATGTTCATTTCCTCTTACTTTTGACATTGTTATATTACCATTGGTTTGGTAAGTAACCCTATCTTTGGATGTAAACGGGACGAGCGTGGGTTATCATATAGCCATGATTAGCAATGTTGCAAGGTATCTTAGCATTCTCTTTTAGGAACTAAGATCATTTGAAAGGCAATATAGATAGTGTTATCGAGGGACTATGATCTTATATTTTGCTTGTTTTTGCTAAGATACTTCACATGCATAATATGGTCATTTTGTAAGGCAACCAAGTGGATTTTACCCTAGGGGTGCTTGTGTGCAAGTGTATTGTTTTTCATGCTTGGTTTTGTCTTTGATTAGGGTTTTCTAATTGATTGGTTTTAGTCTTTCCATACAAACCCTAATTACTAGCATTTGTATATAAGCGATAAATTGCGGAATTTAAAATTACTACGCTATTACAATACTTGTGGAAGGGGGGTGTACAAATTACAAATGGGGATTGTAAGAAAATAAAGTCTAATTATCTATTACAACCATATTGAATTTGGATAAATAATGTACAAAAATGAATAACTATACAAGAATATAAAAATGGAAAGAAAATAGACTTTTATTTGGATTTTTAGGAAAATGGGAGTTTTGTTTTAACCTAATTAACTAAAAGAAAAAAAATTAATTAAATTAGTAAAAAGTAAAACCTAAATTTACTAGGAAAAGAATTCAAATAAAACCCTAATCTATTAATTGATTAAAAAAGAAAATAAGTTTATAAGAAGAATATTTTTGGCATTTTTGTCTTAAAAATAATTTATAGTATTATAAAATATTTTTGGTCTTTTTATATATTAAAATAATATATTTAAATTGTGTAAAAGAAAATAATTTTAAAAAAAAACTAGTTTCTAATTAAATTTACAAATCAATTAGTAAAATAAATAAAGTATGATTAAATAAAATATTTTTTGTGTAAAAAAATAAATAAATTATATCAAAATATAAATCTGATAGTTTTATATTTTTTCTGATTTTTTTAGTATTAGATAAAATATTTAAGAAAATAAATAAATAAAAATGAAAAAAATAAAATAAAATAGGCCAGGGTGTGAATAACCAGCAAGGGGGTTAGAAGTAAAAAAAAAACATGAGGCCGAAGAGGATAAGGCCCAGCGCTGCCAAAAAAGTCAAAATATGTGAAAAATGTGAAAAAAATCCAAAAGGGTACCATTGGGGCTCGAACCCAGGTCCCTATAGTCACAGACACGCGCTCCTACCACTAGGGTGGTTATACATCTGTTTACTAATATCAAACCATAAATATATATGGTAAACACGTTCCTGAGGCCAACTTCATCTTCAACCTCACGTCTAGCCAGAACCTTTGTATCTTATTCAATTCTCAACAAAAATGAAAAATGTAAACAGGAAACTTATAGCAAATTTCCTCACGATTTCAGAAATGCAAAGAAATAAAATTATAGATCAAAGACAAGCATGGATTTTAATGGCCCTAACCTGAACCCTAAAAATTTCATAAACTTCAATCTTAAAATTCTCTAAGCTCAAGCAATATAAATGAAAACTATGGAAATGGTTAGCTTTAGGGCAATGATATCTACATTTTTCATTCACAAATAAATCATTAATGATGCTTGTATGAAAAGTTCAAAGTTGAGATAACTTACCTTGCAAGAGGGTATCATGTTTTGAGTTTGAGTAGCTTTTAGTGAGTTCTAATGATTGGATTAGCTTCCTTAAGTTCCCAGGAAGCTAATGTGATGCTTAGCTTGAGCTAAAAGTACCTGAGGAGTTCTGGAGAAGTCAAGGTGCAAGGTGCTGTTTTTGAAAATGGTGGATGATGATGGAGGTGTTACAGCTGTGTTGCAGGTGTTGGAATTATTTGTGTATGTTATTTATAAGTTTTTGAAAGTAAAAGGCTAAGAAGCGCACGAGCAAATTTGGAGATTGGATTCAAAACTCAAAAATGGCAAGTTTTGAGGTGTTTTTGGTTATTCTGTGTTCTTGGTGTTTTCAGAGCTTAAGCATGCGTGGGATTTGTGGAAAATAACTTGTGTATGTATAAGCAAAAGGCCTTGAGTGCTTTGGAGAGTCAGAAGTACAAGTTACAAGCTAATTGTTATGTTACTTGATTTTCAAGAAAAGTGGGAAAACAAGTTTTAAGAGGAAGTACAAGCATGGGCTGAGTGATTGTAAGTGTCTAGATAAACTTCTATGGAGTTATGGGACTTGTATCACCAGAAGAAAACAAGTGCAAGGCTTAAGAACAAGTTTTATGCAAAAAGCTACTTTATCAAAATGGCATTGTGCACTTTCTTCTCAAAATGGATATAAAGCATGACCTTGCATTGAATGCTTGAATTGAGACCTCTAACAGCTGTGAAAGCATTTAATTATGGAGTGCCTAACAAGTTTTAGGCCTTCAAAGTAGAGGTTATGCAGCATAAGTTTGAATTTTGAATTTTGTTCATCACAAAATGACTTGTAATTCAAGTGTGAAAACCCTAACTTCATCTCTTCGATTCTCCCTACTCAAACATGATCTCAAGGAGTTCTTGGACATTTTGGAAAGCTTGTAATGTTATCTACAAACCCTCTTTGAATCACTTTTGAAAATTACCCTTGAAACTATATGAAAAAGTGCCATGAAGTTGGGTCAAAATCCTGACCGAATTAGGGCAAAATTTCACTAAGTGTTTTGTTTCATGACCATGTGTTCTTAAAATTATAACTTGAGATCCAAGTACTTTTTGAAGGAGTTGTGTAAATAAATTTTATAGATTTCATGAAGATCTACAACTTTCATGTTAGAAGTTTCTTTTGAATCATCTTGCATCATGGTGAAAATTTTGCTCAAAGTTGTGAAAAAATAAGAAATTTCCAACACTTTGAAAAATTTATAAGTTTAGAAATTTTAACTTTTCAAAATGAAATCTTGAATTTTTTATTTCTTGATGAATAATTTTCATATTTTTACATGCTTTGATGAATTATGATCTTTGACATTTGATTTTGACCAAAAAATCAAAGTTTAACTTTTCAATATACAGTTGACTTTTGATTAGTTGACTGAAAATTCATCTGTCAATCCATTGGACTTGAGCAATGTTTTGAGCCATGTCATTAGGTCAAAATGATGCAGTTGGACTCTTGAGATCATGCCTTAAACCAATTGATCATTTGCTAGGTCAAAAATCAGAAATTGCCATTTCCCAGTCAAAACCCTAATTTTGACCATTTTGCCCTTTTGAAGATTTGATCAAATTTCTTGAGGAATTATGGTCCAAACTTGATCAAATTATACATATTAGTTTAAAATGTTTATGTGGATAAAAAATTATGAAATTTAACTGTAAATTGACCACAATTGACTTTTTCCCCAATACAGTTGATTTGTAGGTCAACAGCTCAATAAACTAAGCAAAAGTGTGATCCAAAGCTTGAAACTTGACATGAGTAATATTGAGGGTCCATAATGATCCATGAAAGTCATATGGGACATTGGAAGTTCAAATATCCTTGTGCAATCTCAAACCCTAATTTTGGTCATCAGTACTTAAGGAGGTGTCTTGAGCTGATCAATCCTAGTGCAGTCTTGAGCCAAAGGAGATCTTGTGAGCAAATTATTGATAAATGAGAGGGAAAATTTTGGGGTACAACAACGTCACATAGCATGTATTACATATTTAAAACATGTATATCAACATAATATCGTCACAACACCATCATTAACATCACAACAACATCATAGTAACATCATACTCATCATTAAAACAAATAGAATCTCATAGCATATCAAACATGTAATAAATCAAATTCATCAACACATAGGTACTAGAATCATGCGTTAAACAATTCAAATAACCTCGGCATGATATAGTCTTGCGCTTAGTGTCATACCCCAAATTTTCCCGCCCTTTATTTCTACAATCAAAAAATATTTTCAACATTGGTTTTATCATATTCTTTGATTTTTATAAATATTCGCTTCCAAACCTATTTAAAAATATAATGATTTATTTCAAGTCATTTGTATTTTTTAATAAACAAATACTTGCTCGTTTTCATGTACTTTCGATTGGCTTTTTATTTTCGAATAAACAAAATATCACAATTGGTAAAGAATAAAACTTGCAAGTATGAGGTCGCGGGTTTGAATCCTGTGTGTTACACTTTTAACATTTTTTTTATTTTCTTTTACTAATTTTCTTTCCTTTTTTGGAGATCAGGCTTTGGGCTTTACATTCATTTTAGGCTAACTTACTTTCTAAATATTTTTAACCTAATTTCACTCTATAAATAGGACTCATTGTTGTCCTAATTTTGAATCCACAATTCATCAACAATCACACATAAATCTACAATTTTGCAATTTCACACACACAATTCCACATACTTTTCAAAACATTTGGCGTTATTTTGTTATTTTGGCCAATGATTAAATATGAGGTCAGCCTTTCTCCCTTTTATTTTTAGTTTTATTGTTTGTTGTGTTTTAATTTATTTTTAACCATATGATGATTTATAATGGTTATTTGTTTTTTTTTTTAAATTATATTTTATAGATCAACAATTCTAACCTCTTACTCATACCACTATACACAATTTTCCTCAAAATAACAGACACATTCACTAAGAAATATTAAGATCCTTGTTCATTAGTGCTGGTGAATAACAAAGATAAGCCATAGTATAAATTGGTGTAGTATATTTTTCTTTCCTTATGTTTTATCATTTTTTTGGATGGGATTTTATAAGACTAAATGGGTTATTTTGCAATATTTATTGTCAAATACATGGACTAAGGATCCAAAAACATGATATGTTTCTGCACTTTTTTTTACATGAAATTTTACCTGCAGAAAGAAAAAACAAAGGTTACAACAACACAACTCATTCTAATAGCATCAAAATACATGTATCACCAAGAATATTCAACAACAATTCGAATTGCAACATTCACAAATTCAAAGAAACATTGAAGAAAATTTACAACACAATATTATACATAGTGCCATTTGTTTTTGCAGGAAACAGAGATAAGAAGAAGGTGTTAAAATCGAATTCGCTCCTCTCAAACATCCGTCCGCCTCTCAAATCTCCTCCTCTCGTTGGCCAAGGTTCAGATCCGATACAAACAACACAGTTAAGCAGTGGCTTGGTGATTATACGAGAACAATAACTCGACAACAATAGCCCGACCAATTCATGCTGAATCAATCGCGCCAGATCCAAAACCAGTGGATCTCCAACAATCTCCAACCGACAACCAACGCTGCTCATCGCCTAACCGCCCTCATCTCCATCACCGCGAGTGCATCACGACGCTGCACATCAACTCAAATCAATGACCCCTACCCGATGCGAGGACTGCCTTCAATCCGTTGCTGCCAAAAAAACAGCGACTCAATCTCACTATGACACGATCAACCACTCTCAGCTTTGCCGTTCAAGTCACTGTCACGATCCGACGCCCTTCATTCGGACGTCATGGCTATCTCGCATGCGTTAAGCTTTGACTTTCTCACCTCTTAACTCAATATGGGTCTTGGCGATGAAATTTGTGGTGTTGTTTCACTGTTTCTAAGAGTTTGTTTTTGGAAAAATCCGAAACAATTGCGAGAGAAGAAGAGCTTGGAAACAGACGAACGCGCGAGGGAGATGTAGCATGTCTGTTTTAATTACTCTCTCTTACATTAAATATTGTGTGTTTTCTAGTTTTTTTTCTTTTTTCTTTTTCTTTTAACACGTGTCATCTTAGCATTGGGTGGTTATGTTGTTTGAAAAGTCAAAATTAAATCAATGTCTTGCTAAAAGAAACAACAAAAGGAGGTGCCTCGTATTGTCGTGTAGCCCTTTTTGTTTTTTTTTTGGTTGTGTTTCTTTTATTCCTTGTATTTTATTAATTATGTGAATTATAATGACTTAGGGTTTGTAATCTGGGTCATTGGGCCTCATGCCAGTCGCACTCTCCACGAAATTCTCTATCTTCTTACTACACACATCTTTTTAGTAACCAACCCCTATTTACTAATTAATCACTCCTTATTTTTTATTATAAATATTTTTAATTAGGTTAATGATGATTAGTTTTAATTAATTTACTAATTCATTCGATTTAGTAATGATAAAAAAAATCAAATACTTTTTAATTAAATCAATTTAATATTTTACATCAAAATATTAAAACCCACGCAATTCGAGCGACACGTGGCCAATATCTGACCACGTGATGAGGAGACTATATCAGACTCTCCCGCTCTACGTCTTAATATAGCTAACCAATAATAAATCATTTTCCACTAACATAACAAAAACTACAAGATATTTTCGAAAAAGGATTAAGGAAAAATACTTTCAAATTAACTACGAACTGCGTCTACGATCACTCAACTTACAACCCATACAAGGTTCAAGGATAATTCGAAATCAATTATACGTAATCCATAAAAAATACCAATCCACTACGAATTGAGACTCTGATTCCTCATAATAGGATACGTAGGCATACGACTAAAATCGTGACGAGTTTCCCTAATAAAAATTAAAACCCTATTTCTTAAAGATTACGCTTCTATCCTTGTGAACAATGTAGATGGGGGTACCTAAAACTTTTCTTTTGTCTAAAACCGAGTCAAAAACCTAGAATCTCTAACTTTTTAGGGTTAACCTTTATATTCCCTTTCTTAGGATAAAATTTAAGGGTGACGACTCTGAATTTAAAATAGGTTACAACAATTAGCTTCCCAACGCTTCGAACGGAGCGTCAAACAGAGTCCTAAAGCTCAAGTTACGACACTTTGAAAATGCTGCTAGGGCTGCTCGTCTAAGGCTCGCCCGACGATGCTCGAGGCACTCAGCTTGCCTGGCGAAAGGTGCGATTGGGATCATCGCTGCCTCGATCACCCAATGACGCTAGGGCGACGAGCCCTTCCCCATACATTTTCCAGGAGCTCACCTTTTCATCCATCCCCTCGCCGCTTGTCTCACCTGGCGACGCTTGGACGCTCTCCTCGCCCCTTGCCCATCCAACGATGCTTGTGAAACTGCAACTTCTCAATTGCGATTCCTGCACTGTCCATCCCCATTCCAATTTCAATTACAGTATCAAACTCAGGCCAAAACACATAATAATCATCATATATCACATATTAACATCAAATTGCATCATCACACCATATTCAACACAAATCACAACATACAACACATCATAAATCTACAATTTTATCATATCATCAAATCATCACAAACAACAAAACTTACTTCTAGTTTAACCTTCCTTCATGTTCTACAGAACTTTCCTGAGTCTTAACCTCTTCTCTGCGTTTCTCCCAATTCTACGATCGCACAAAATGATCGCTATTCTTCTATTTTCTCTTTTTTACCCCTATGACCCTTTCTATGTTATTCCCCCTTATGTCCCCACTTATCACCATATATTACCACCACGCCCTTATTATTTATACACACCAATTATTTTATTTAATTATTGTTAAATAATTCTAAATAGAATAAACTAAATTATTTAAATCTAAATAATTCTAACTAGCACCTTAATCCACACTATCCCACAACACGACATCATACACCGCACAGATAATCATCAATAATCCACAAATAATCAATTAAATAATTAAATATAGATTTTTGGAGTGTTACAACTGTCTTTGAGATGAAACAACATGCCGGTTATATGAGTCTATTTCGGGTATGAATATTTTTTTATATATTTTATTTATTTAGTTATTATTCATCAAAGACATTTTATATATAATGTTGGATATACAATCATTTCCCGTCGATTTGTACTATGCGTGATCGTGGTCCTATCACCAATGACTTTCAACGGTCCACCAGATGGAAGACCAAACATTCTCATTATAGAAGTCTTCCGAAATATAGGCGGAGGCGGAGGATCGATACGCTAATCGTAGATAATATCATATTGACACATTACATAGACCATAAACTACATCGAAAGTTTGATGACACTGTTATCTTTTGGGTTATTTGCTATAAGATTTGTGTAGATATATATTTACCTGAATGCGCGATGAGATATTTTCTAGGCTATTCGTGATGAATATTTTTTAGCACGTGCTTAATGAAAAAAATGGGAGGAATATTTTGGGTATTACGTATAACTTAGGGGTGTGGTCTCTAAATTTATAAAAAAACAACGGGCCATATATCATGGGCGGCCCGGTCCATTAGAAGGCCTGGCTTTTCCCCCAAGCCAACACATACTGAAATCAGTTCCTTTCTCTCACATTGCTTCAAAACTCAACATTTTCAAGATCTCACACTGCAATTCCCTTCTTCTACCACAATCGGTGCGCCATCTTCATTCCCACTTTCGCATCTGTCTTACTTCAATTTCTCTCTATTTTCCTTTCTTAAGAAAATAACAACGCTTCGTTCCTTTTCTCAATTAGGTCACAGTCACTAACCTCCAATCATGAAGCTCGATACATCTGGTCTCGAATCGTTTCCTTCACTGATTTCACACGGAAGCAACGTCACCGGAGAAATCTCCGCACCTCCATCCTTCGAGCTTCCCAATTCCAACGACGTGAGTACTTTTCTGTTCGTTCAATGTTTTCAATTTCACGATTCTGAAACTGTTCATGGAAAAAATCAGAACAAAATAAAATTAGGGTTGTAGCATATTATGAAAACGACTAGATTGTAGAAAAAAAGGTTAAAGCTTTAGGGTTTTATCTGACGTTTTTTTGTGGGTTTTGGGGTTTTGCTAGTTTGATGGTTTCCTTAAAGAAGCTATTCAGATGGTGAAGCCTGCGAAGGGTACTACGACTCTTGCTTTTATTTTTAAGGAGGGTGTTATGGTAGCTGCTGATTCTCGGGCTAGTATGGGAGGATATATATGTGAGTGTTTATAGATTCTTATCTAATGTTTTCTACTTTTTATGTTATTGTTTCTAATGAAACTGCGAGTTTTTTTTTGTTTTGGTTATAGCATCACAGTCTGTGAAGAAAATTATTGAAATTAATCCATACATGCTTGGGACAATGGCTGGAGGTGCTGCTGATTGCCAATTTTGGCATAGGAATCTTGGCATCAAGGTAATATAGGTTACTTTCTATACTGCATGCTTACTTTTGTTTGTTTTGTTACTTTTCAGCTTAGTATCTTAGTAAGTGCCTGTTTGTGTCCAATAAAGTGCCATTCTTTGATTATTAGTATTCAATAGCATTCATCATGTTGTTGATAGTAGCACAGTTTTGTTTCCATTTTGAAGCATATGTATACTCGATGACTTGAAATTGTGTCCCTAGACTGCAGCTTAGAATGTGTTTAGGAAACAACTAAGGAGTGGAAGAAAGTGGATGGGGTTGGGACAATGGGAGGGTAGAAACTAAACATCTGCTTTTGCTATCTTTTTGGGCATGCCAAGGAGATAGCGGGGGAATGTAAATGGTAGCAAAATCGATTCTGTATGGCTTGTGACAACCTTTTCTCCAAGATGGTTATGTTTTGAAGAATGGTTATGTAATTTAGAGATAACCAAACTCTTAGTCTCTGTTTACGTTGTGAAAATGTTTTATTTGTAACATCCCAAATTGCTTGTAAGTATTGCCGACTGTTCCTCCAAACCCACTCAAGTCCTTTTAGTGCCTTTTGCCTTCCATCACACACTCTCTAGCAACTTCCCAAAAGGCCACCCATCCCAAAATTGCTCCAAGTCAAACACTCTAACTATGGAGTTCTTATGGTATGGACTATTGAAAAAAAGATATATTGTTGGTCGGTCGCACCAATCGATTTTTTAAGCCTTTCTTTGGTTGTACAGTCCTAAACCTGCACAATATTTTGGTTTCTTAATATTTGTGTTAATTTTACTTGTTAACAAAGAGATACAAGACTCTTGTGGACAACTGGCTATATTTTTCTGGAAACAATAAAAATGACTAAAGGTTGTTTTCATTATTTCAAAAATGCATTATTTCTAATTTGCATTTCATCTTCTCTCTATCAAAATCGTTCATTATTTCTAATCTCTATCGTTCATTTATTTGATTTATATTTGTTATTGTTTTTATGGGTCGCTTCTCCTCTTTTCCCCCTTCCTTATATGATCTATTGGTCTTTGTCTTCCATTTTGATTTAGACTTCCTTTTTGGTAAATTATCTGACTTATTAAGCCTTCATGTGTGCCTGACTAATTATTGTTTTTTGTTCCTTAAGTTTTGAATCCATGTAAATGGTAATGAATGAATTGTGAATGACTCTGTTCATATGGACGAAAATAAAATTTTATTGTTATCCCCCCGACCCCCTCTATATCTATATAGATACACACGTGTGTGTGTGAAATTACTGATTGCTTTTCTGATGCGGTTAATATTATCTGCAGTGCCGCTTGCATGAGTTGGCAAATAAAAGAAGAATTTCTGTAACAGGAGCCTCTAAGTTACTTGCAAATATTTTATACTCTTATCGTGGAATGGGATTATCTGTCGGTACCATGATTGCTGGATGGGATGAAACGGTAATTTACATGTTAACCCAGTAAATGGATTTTGCTCAAACAGTCCTACTTTGACTTACAATGATTGATATCTTTTTAGGGTCCTGGTCTATATTATGTTGATAGTGAAGGTGGAAGACTTAAAGGCACTAGATTCTCAGTTGGATCTGGTTCACCATATGCTTATGGTGTATTGGACAGCGGGTTAGCTAAACTTCCTATTTAATTATCTTCTATTATTCTTCTGCCAAATCTTGTTAACAAACAACTTCTGTCATACTAGGTACAAATATGACATGTCAGTTGAGGAAGCTTCTGAACTGGCTCGAAGAGCAATTTATCATGCAACATTTCGTGATGGAGCTAGTGGTGGAGTTGCTAGCGGTATTTTATCTTTCTTCCCTAGTCACATGCTATATCTACTTGCTTATGCCATTTTATTGCTGACTTGCACATAGATATGGAATTGCAAACACACTCCCTTGTATTTTTAGCAGGAAAACATTGACAAGATATCTTTAAAAAATTTGTTCATGTACTCCCTTAGGTGTTACTTGAACGCATACTACTGAGAGTTTAACTGTTTAAGCGAGTATTTTAGCCGCTTGACCTCTGCTGTAACCCCCACTTTTAATAAGATAGAGATATAGTGTAGCAAATTTCAACTCACATACCATCGTTTTACTGTGTCCACATACTTGCAGATAGTTCATGGTTTCTAAACTAGCCTGTTAAGATAGTTCCATGGTTTCTAAACTAGCTTGTTAAGATGAAATTTTGTTCTAAACTAATTCGTTACATGAAATGTTATTATTGTAGTTACCAATAACTAGGTCAGTCTTTTTGCAGTAGCTACTAATGTGCATATTTTATTGCTTTAAATTTGTAAGGCATGGAATTAAATTAAATGATGCTAACTTGTATATTTATTTATATGATTTCAGTTTACTACGTGGGACCAACTGGATGGAAGAAATTGTCTGGTGATGATGTTGGTGAACTTCACTACCATTACAACCCGGTTACCCCTAGCACCGTGGAGCAAGAAATGGTTGAGGCAGCTGGACCTTGATGTAGTAACTCATGGATATCTTTTGAGTTTCCTATACTTGTCTGCTTAGTTTGAATCAATTGTGCGGACCTGATTTATATTCAAAACTGTCGCCAGTTTTATGTATACACAAGTGCTGCTCTATGCTCTGAAGTTGTGTCAAATTTTCAGATTGTATCAAATTTATCGTAGGAATGGACAGAGCCATGTGTAATGTGGAATAGTTTAAATGAGAAAAGCACGTCAAACAAAATTTCCTATGAATTAATGGAATTTTTTTCCCTAATATGAGCTATCGGATTTTTTTAAGAATCCGGTAATTTTTTTTGAAGTTTTAGATATATTTTTGAAATTGGGTTAAACATGTTTTTGGTCTTTATAAATTATGGAATGTTGTTAAATAATGTGTATTTTTGAATAATTATTTTGCAGACGTATTTAGAATGTTATAAGAAGTTCAATTTGAGAATTTTTTTAGCAATAATTATGTTTTGAAAAGAAAAAACACAAATAATCATGTTTCGGAGAAAATTACGTAAATGACCATGTTTCAGAATATATTTAAACAAATGAGCCAACTTAGATGACACATGCTCTTGCTTTTTATATGGATGTGTCAAGTGAGATGGCGCATATGTGCCATGTGTTTGTCCTAAGCCATCTCAGATGGCGCTTAAGTGCTTTTGTGGGACAAATTTTGTTTCTTTCTATTTTAAATAAAAGACAATAATCAAACGGTTTTGCTTAATGAAAGTTCATTTTTCACTAACAATTGAACGATTACATAATGAGAATAACTGTTACATATGATTTAGTTGTCCCATGAAACTCGGTAACGATCTGTGGTTTCGCACCCGCGTCCTCGCCTAACTCATGGTGCGTTTCGACGAATTTTCTGTTGCGGTTGGATTGACTGTCCAACGAAGTCAATGCGTTCATGATCCATGAAATATGTAAGATCAGCATATCCAGAAGATCTGCTTTGAAACAGTCAGTTATCCATGCTCTCAAAGTTTGATCGTATTGGTGAGGAGTGGGGTTTTATGGGTGGTCGATAGCACTAGTCGTCTGAATAAGGGGGTAAAAAGGAAATGAATCTTGTGGAGTTTGGTACTGTGATTGTTGGGTGCTATGGTAATGTGATGGTTATGGTAAGTTGGGTAGGCTTAGATCTGGGCTAATGTGAGATGATGAGGGGCCCATATCGGGATGTTTGATGTATGGTTTTTGTTCAAAGTGCTGAAATTACGTGTAGGGCATGCGGGTGTATTGGTATTGAGGTTGGGATTGAGGTTGGGTGTGGGGCATATGTGTGTATTGGTATTGAGGTTGAGTGTGTGGTATATGAGTGTATTGGTATTGAGGTGGTGATTGGGGTTGGGTGTTTGTGAAACTGTATCGTTGTAGTGGTTGGTGGGAGGTTGATGTGTGTTGGGTTTGTTGTTGGGGATTTGAGGATTGTGTCCATTGTGTGCGCGGATCGATCAGATACCCCGGGTGAGACACGTGCATTTCAAGGTTAATAACCAATCTGTACCAATTAATATACTGATTTGTGTGCCGCATACTATTTTGATTGAGGAAAACAGGGAATTGTAAGACATATTGGTAACGCCTATGTCATATCTTACACCATTCCAGAGTGAAATCTATCCAATTATTAACACCACATTGGGCGTCGACCCTTTTGAGATGCTAGAGTGACAAATAAGTTGAATCACATGGTATTTCTTGATGTATTCTGAACTGCATCTTGACACGGTCGCTATGGTGCATCTCCATAATGTTGAACGTATGATTGCAGTCTTTGCAGTCCAAACTACTGCATCCTCGAGGTTGAGTTCATGGTCTAAATCCAAATATGGTCTCCAGATAAACTATGGATAAAAATTAATCAGAATAATGAAAATGTTAAAAATAAATAATTTAAAAGTAGAAAAGTTTAGAGGTACCACATACATCATCCGAGCCAAGGTGATCCAAAAGATTACGATATATAGCGACATTAAATCTTGGATTCTTGCTATAATCCATAACCCTTACACAATATCTAAAGGAATGAAAAAAATAATTAATTTTATACATCTATTTGGTGAAAGGATGAATAATAAATTATTTAAGCTATTGACTTACTTTGTTTCGTAGGGGAAAATGAATGCATTGTTGTTGACAGGGTTTAAGGACTGCATTCTCCACCAACTCCATGCTTGGAGCAAGAAAGCGCATCCATAAAATGTACATTTGTCGTTTGTTGTGTTTTACATAATGAACTGTATAGTTGGGCTAAAACAGCGGAACCCCAACTATACTTTCTTGTTTTATCAAAGTTCTTAAGCAAACTTAAATACATAAAATTTACATTATTCCATGTACTTTCGGGAAATAACATGCTTCAAAATAATATCATAATATAACTTCTAGCTTTAACTATTTTTGCTTCCTCGGTCGAATTTTCATTCAACTCAAGAGTCTCATAATTCTTTTTAAGTACAATTAGTAATATACCTTGGCCCCTAGCACCAGTAGCTTATACCATATCTTTATCCAACAATTCCTTGCATAGAGAATTGAGTTGAACCGACCCATTCATCGTCTTACCATCGATAGGGAGACTCAATAATATGTACATGTCCTCTAGTGTGACAGTACATTCACCTATTGATAGATGAAATGTGTGTGTCTCGGGTCTCCATCTTTCCAACATTGCAAGTATAAATTTTGAATCAATCGTGTAGTTTGAGATTTTATAACATTTCCAAAACCAACATATTCTAGATATGGGATGATCAACGGGCCTGGAGTAATGTAGTTGTGTGAGCGAAACCTAAACCTTTTAGTATCCTAAATTCAAAATGTAAATAGTGTAAGAGTCTGTTGTACCCCAAAATTTGTCCTCATATTTTTCACAAGAAATCACAGCTTCGGGCTTTTCCTGATTTTTCAGATTGGCTCAAGAATCAGTCAAACCGAATTTTTCTTGTCAGTCTAGCCAAATTAGGGTTTTCATGGACTCTGGAACAGTTCAAGCAAATTATTAGGGTTTGGTTGAGTTTGGCTCAAAGTTTGATCAGACAGGCGTTTCTTTAGTGTTAAGTCAAGAATTAGGGTTTTGCGCGTGCAGTTTCAGAAGAGTTTGAATCCACAGTGTTTTTGAATCCACAGTGTTTTAATTGGTTGTTACACTGTTTTGACATTGGTTCAAAATTTCTGTCTAAACATCTGGGATAAAGGCTAAGGCATTTGATTTGAGATGGGATAAAAGCGGAGGTATTTGAATTGAGAATTTGCAGTGTTTGATCTAATCAGTAAAAGGAAAAACATGTGGACGTTTGTTTGATTAACTCTGCAATGTTTTGGATTATTCGGAACGCCAGACGTTTATTGATTATTTATCATTTCTAAGTTAAAACTATTGGATAAATTCCAGTTATTATAATTCAAGAAATATAAATAATTAAATAAACAATTGAAGAGAAATAAAAGAGAAATCTGACCAAAAAATGACTTATTTATTTCATTTTGAATTGTTTGTTACAGATATTATTTGAATACTGTAAATTCATTTACAGTCATTTACATTAATATTATTACAAATAATTAAAATGAAATAAAACTACATCCTAATTTTTCTAAATCTTCATCCTCTATTGCTGCTCCCCATTGCTCAATTGATTTTCATCTGCAACAAAGAAAAGAAAAGAAGTCAGCACAGACGAAAATCAAAAGGAGACAGTTAATTTAAAGACTCATCATTAAAAGTGATTGGCCGGGACCAGTTATTCACCCTCTCTGCAAATCACAAGAAAATTCTTGGTTCACAAAGAGGGATAGAAAGTGTTTGCAAATAAAATATGAAATGCACGAAGTTACAATATTGCACATTCAAAATTATCAAATAGGCTGCATAATTCCAAAAGCCCAAACTGAACTGCACAAATTGCAAAGTGAATATGCCAAAACAAGTCAAGTTTCAAACTAAGCAAACTGAATGTAACTGTCAAAAGCTGTCCAGAGGATATAGAAAGATATCAAACACCAAAAAGCTGTCAACAAAGTACACAAGAGATGTAGGAAAACTGGAAAGTGTGCAGAGGAAAACTAATGTGCAAGCAACATTTTCAAAATCATCATTTCCCAGCCTATCACCTTTTCAGAAAAGCTATTTTAAAGCAATATAATATGCTTTAATAGAAAGAAGAGAGAGAGAGTAAAAGAGGTGGAGAGGCTTACAGCAGGCTTGAGGCTTAGAGATATAAAACAAACAGTTGATATCAGAACAAAAGAAGGCAGAAGGACATAACAAAAATAACACATCCTGCATAAACAAACCAGAAGCATAACCAGCCTGAAGCCTAAAACTTTAAACCTTCACCTGCAGAAACACAAGCCTCTAAGCCCTGTCAAAGACAAACCACACAAAGCCAAGCCTATAACCTGTGTTCAAACCATAACACAAGCTAAAACAAAAACATAAGCCAGCCTGTAACCACACAAAACCTTGCAACCTTTCAAAACTGTGTTAAGCATACAAGCCTTGAAGCATTCAAACACCTCAAAACCTGTAACAAACAAAAAGCCAAAACCTGCTAATACATCAAACCCTCCAAACCTGTTCAAGTCTCAAAACTACCTGCTAAGCATAAACCTCAAAGCCAAAAACACAAACAGACGAGACCAAACCTCTAACCTGCTTCACCAACCTTTCAAAACTGTGTTAAGCATACAAGCCTTGAAGCATTCAAACCAAACACAGCCCTCAGAGCAACCTCATCATTGGGCTAACAATAACAAATCCATACTCAACAATCAATATCATTAGCAATCAGAAGCTCACTCAAAAACAACTCAGATATCAAAATAAGGCAACTCAGATATCAGAACAACAAGGTTCAACAATATCAATATCTCAACAACAAGTATTCAGAGGCAAGCGTCCAAAGAAGCAGAAGAGGAAAAGAAGCGATTAAGGCTAGGGTTTTCAGAGACAATCATCATTAAACCATAAAAAGCAAAGATAAAGG